CCCCCCCCAAACCAAAACCCACCACACCCTCTTCTTTCTTCCTGGGTTGCAAGATACAAAAAAGATTAAGGCTTGGGAGTTCCTTGTAATTATAAACAATTCTAAGGCATCAAATGGAAAATAAATCATACCAATTCAGCAACAAATATCTCTCAACAAAATTAGCAAACACCCCAAGAAATCAAGATAGTATAACCAATGAAAATACATTCTTTTAAGGAAAATGAATAATACAGTGAGAAATTCAGAGTACCTCTGATAAATGGCTGATCTTGAACTGCAAATGACTTTCTAGGATAAATGAATGAGCATAAACGCTATGTATACATAGCTGTAAAACACCCAAGAATCACAAATCTTTAAAAAAAAAAAAAAAAAAAAAAGATATGAGCTAAGAGAGAGAAAAAAAAAAGAGACAGAAAAACAATAGAGATGAGCTCATACAGAGAGACAAGAATAAAGGACTAACCTCACTTACATATACTAATGTCTGTATTCTCCTTGAGAACTTAACTTACCTTGCGTCAATGGAGAAACTCCACTAAATTGTTTTTTTAACACTTATAAACTATAGCAAATACTGTACCAAATATTGTTTTTAAATTCAAATAAACAACTTGAAGTTAGCTAAAAAGAATCAATACGTTCCTAAGTTTACTGATATTTTTGACTTAGCCTTTTGGTTACTGGTTTTTGGATCATGTGATAGGCATTTATTTAAAAAGGTTAGGGCCCTCAAAAGTCATAGTCATTCACTCATTCACATGCATCATTGTCATGCATTTAAGTGTGTAATCTTGGGAAATAGAATTTTATTTATTTTCTGACCCCTCAACTTGTCTTTCTAAATAATTGGTCTATAATCATACATGTATTATTCCAGTTTCTTGGACACCTCATTCTCTACATGATTCTTTGTAGTAATAATTAGGGGACTACTTTTTTGGCAAAAAAATATCTTTTTGCCCACTATCAAGAAGAGAAGAGGTTACTACCTTCGCCTCAAATTATCATTCGTAATTTTTAAAAATAATTATCTCAAATTATTTATTATTTTAGAAGTTTAAGATAAAATTAATTTTTTTTTTAGTTTATCCTTAGTAGTAATTGTTCTTGAAGATGGAAATGCCACATAAATAGAATAAATATTCAATAAAAATAAATTATATCTTAAGACATAAATAAGGATAAAATAGTCAAAAATTTATTTTAATTAATGTTTCTTAAGGGCCGTGTAAAAGAAAAATATGACAGATAATTTGAGACGAATGGAGTAAATGATTAGCTACATCACTTTAATTGCAAACACTTTTTTTGATTTAGGTGTGTTTAAATTGGGATTAAGTAATAAGGTGGATTTCAATTTATGATACCTAATACATTGAATTTTGATTTGTGGCAATAATTAGGGAGAGTTAAGGTGTATATAAGTACTATGGTTTTTAATAATTAGAGCATTAATTAGCCTGGTTAGCTGGATCTATTCGATCTTATTAAAATTGATTACCCCCTTTGACTAAATAATAATTTACTCGACACAAGAAAGGGAAATTTATAATAACAGAACAAAAATCATTCTGCTAAAGTCCATACATGTGCAAAGTATGTTGTATACTTCTTCTTTTTCAACAGTTATAATGCACAATTTGCACATAGTACTCTCGTAGATTTATTTTGCTGCTATAATATTCCAATCTCCAATAGGAAATAAAATTTCAATAATTTGGTTTCCTTATTTAGCAATCAATGGTTCATTTGGGAACTTGAGAGTTATATAGTATTTAGGGAAAGACCAAGAATCCGATCAACCCTAAAAAGGAAAACGAATTCCTGCAAATATTTTGAAACACTCCTTCCATAATATTGTTCTATTTTTCCGTTTGAATAATCGCAAATGTACTACACTTTTTTACCCTCTATTTCATTCTTATTTAATAAAACAAGATAATATTGTCATAAATATTTTCCTACAAATATTAACATCTCATACATTCAATACTTCATTTAGATTAATCACTAGTGTCAAAGCAGAAGTGTAGATCCATATTGGAATGACAGACGTAACTGTTTGAGCAAGACACATTATTCCATTACGTTAACCTTTTGACATTTCTTCATCTACAAATTTTCCTGTATAATTTGATCAAAGCAATAAAAGAAGAGAGCTATTTTATGTTAGAAAAAATTGTCTTTCTTATAATCATTCTCATTGTCTTATTCTTGAGTTTTATTACTACATGCAAGTTGTTTCTTATGCTTTGATTATCTTATTGCTTTGTAATTTTATTGTTATTATTGTTCTTGTCTTCATTAATTTTCCACATGGCTAATTACTATTGTTTTTCTTTTTCAAAACAATTTTGAAATGCATTTATCGAGTTGAAGGTCTATCGGAAACAGCTTATCTACCTCCACAGGGTAGGAATAAGGTCTGAGTACACACTGTTATTATATTGTATTTGTAAAATATTTCGAAGAAGAAAACAACGTATAGACAGAAATGTAGAAGAAGTAGAAATTAATCCGAGCCCACTGAATTCGCAGTGTTTCCTTAAGGAACTTAATCCCCTCCTAGTACCCGAGGTCGTAGATTATTTCCTCCCAGGATAGAATGGATTACACATTGGTGTAGCGATACTTCAAACCCCAGTGTTTCGATGAACATAAATGGCGGCAACAAATCACACTTACGGCTGCTTTGTTGTAGTTAAAACAATGCAGAAAGGAAGAGGAGAATTCAGAATTTTCGTAAGAAAAATCTGAGGGAATGGCCTTCTATTTATAGCCAACAGGTTGAGTTTAAATGAAGAGATACAACTCTTCAGAAGGTCTGTCATGACTGTTTACGTAAAACGGCCACAACATAAATGGCTATTTACGCAAAACAAAACGGGAATTCAAAATGCGTAGAAAAATTAATTTTCCGTTACAAAAATGGATAATTTGGATTAAATAATATTAAAAAATAAATTTAGTCCAAAAAATTAATCAATCAATCATTTGAACAAATCCGAAGCCGAAGCCGAAACCGAGCAAACGACGACGATAGCGCGAGACTTGCTTTCTTCTTAACTCTTTAAGAGATAGAAGAAGAGCAATTGTATATATACCCATCAAAAGTCTTTTTCTCCTCCAATATGGGACAATGTCACTTTGTCAAGGAGGAAAAATCAAATTTTTATTTTTCCCTCCATTTCCCATTCACCCTCTTTTAAGTTAAAATAAACTTTAAAAACCCAACAATCCCCCACATGAATGGGGGAATGGCTATATCACGGAAATATGCATAAAAAATTGTGTGATTCGCAAGAAAGGATTAATTGCATCTGGATAAGTAGGTTTCTCTTTTAACTTTCCGTAGTGAACTTATGTCGGATATACTCGGTCAATCGGTAGATTTGATATATTTGAACCGTCGAACTTTGGTGTATACCTAGACAACTATAAGTCACACAGTCAACCCTTAACCTTCTTTGGTTCTCATTATTATGTTCGTTTCAGCCATGAACACCGCATGGTTTCATAAGTGCATAGAGAACTGGCCTTACAAAATTCTCCTTGAAGCGGCTAACACTTCACACTTACATAGGTGATTTCTAAACGTGTCATCCCGTAGATACACTATTTGATATACCCCGTATCAAATTTAGAAACCATTAAAAGGCCTTAATGTTTTATCCTTGGTACNCTGAACATTGTCTCATCACGAGAACGGACTAAAATTTTATTTGACAATGTTGAACCGTCATTAATGACTTTGTTTGATCTCCTTGAACCTAGATCTTGGGATCTCCAGTCTTCTAGGTAGAGTTACCGCCACAATGACTTGTCCTCGGCCATAGTCCCATTCCCCTCGATGATTTCTCAACTACCTCTCTAGTTAGGCCTTTCGTAAGTGAATCCGACACATTATCACTTGACTTTACGTAGTCAATCGTGATAATTCCTCTAGAGAGTAATTGCCTAACGGTTTTATGTCTTCATCGAATATGACGAGATTTACCGTTATACATAATGCTCCCAGCCCTTCCAATTACCGCTTGACTATCGCAATGTATACATATTGGGGCCAACGGTTTGGGCCAAAATGGAATATCTTCCAAGAAATTTCGGAGCCATTCAGCTTCCTCATCGGCTTTATCTAAGGCTATGAACTCAACCTCCATTGTAGAGCAGGCAATACACGTTTGTTTGGACGACTTCAAGATATCGCTCCTCCACCAATAGTGAATACATATCCACTTGTGGACTTAGAATCAGTTGAACCGGTGATCCAATTTGCATCACAGTATCCCTCAATCACTGCAGGATATTTACTGTAGTGCAAGGCAAAGTCCTGGGTATGTTCTAAATATCCCAAAACTCGTTTCATTGCCATCCAATGAGATTGACCTGGATTACTCGTGTATCGACTTAATTTACTTATAGCACAAGCTATATCTGGTCGTGTACAATTCATGATATACATTAAACATCCCAACACACGAGCATAATTCAATTGTGATATGCTTTAGCCTTTGTTCTTTGCTAGTGCAAGATTCACGTCAATTGGAGTTTTTGCAACTTTAAAATCTAAGTACTTGAATTTTTCAAGTACTGTCTTAATATAATAAGATTGTGACAATGTCAGACCTTGAGGAGTCTTATGGATCTTAATACCCAGAATTAAATCAGCAACTCCCAAGTCCTTCATATCAAACTTGCTAGTTAGCATACGCTTAGTCGCATTTATGTTGGCAATGTCATTACTCATTATCAACATATCATCCACATATAAGCAAATAATGACTATGTGATTTGGAACATTTTTAATGTACACACATTTATCACATTCATTTATCTTAAAACCATTTGACAACATTGTATGGTCAAATTTTTCATGCCATTGTTTAGGTGCTTGTTTTAGTCCGTAAAAGGACTTAACAAGTCTACATACCTTCTTTTCTTTACCTGGAATCACAAACCCTTCAGGTTGTTCCATGTAAATTTCTTCCTCCAAATCTCCATTTAAGAAAGCCGTCTTAACGTCCATTTGATGAATATCAAGACCATAAACCGCATGTAATGCTACTAATATTCGTATGGACATAATTCTTGTAACTGGAGAGTATGTATCAAAATAGTCAAGACCTTCTCGTTGTCTATATCCTTTGACCGCAAGTCTTGCCTTATATTTATCAATAGTGCCATCATCTTTCATTTTTCTCTTCAAAATCTATTTAGAACCCAACAGTATATTTCCAGGAGGAAGATCAACCAATTCCCATGTATAGTTGTTCAATATGGATTCTATTTCACTATTGACTGCCTCTTTCCAAAATAATGATTCCGAATAAGACATAGCTTCTTTAAATATTCGGGGCTCATTTTCCAATAAGAAAGTCACAAAATTTGGTCCAAATGAAGTAGACGTTCTTTGACGTTTACTACGTCTTGGATCCTCATGATTAAACGTACTTTCTTTTTTTTTTTTCTTCCTGAGGTCGTTTAGATCCTTCACCAATCGACTCACATTCCTTTTTATACGGATACATATTTTCGAAGAACTCGGCATTATCTGATTCTATAACCGTATTATTATGAATATCGAAATTTTTTGATTTATGAACCAGAAATTGATATGCTTTACTATTGATCGCATATCCTATGAAAACACAATCAATGATTTTCGGTCCT